CGCAGTGGACTCCATAGCATGAACCATGGTTTTGGCTGTGGTTATGAGAAAGAGCTCATGGCTGCAGTCCTCAGGCCTTCCCTGGAAGTGCAGCAAATGGTGCAGGACCTCCCCTTTGAGGGCTCGTCGCTCTTTTCAGAGCAGACAGACATTAAATTACATAGCCTGAAGGATTCTAGGGCCATCCTAAAACCCCTAGGGCTACACACACTGGCTCCGTCTAGGAAGCATTTTTAGTCCCAACCATTGCCACATTTCTGTCCACCTTAGTCTAGGCAGCACTACAGTAAGAGGCGGGATAGAAGCTATAAGAAGAGGCCTCCCCCCCAGTCCTCGTCTGCCCATGTGCCTGGCTCCACCAAACAATCATTGGGGTCTAAGCAGGCCTTTTGAAGTCACACTTGAAGATGGCATACCAGGACACTGTCTGGATCCATCTTCCCCAATTTTTGAGGACCAGTTATCCCACTTGTATCAGGCAAGGGCCCACATTATCTTAGATCACTGGGTGCTACACACGATTGGACTGAAATACACCATTCAGTTCAATTGTTTCCCTCCTTCCCACCCTCCATCCCCCGTCCCTCTTCAGGGACCCTTCTCACAAGCAACTTCTAGCCCAAGAAGTGTGGATGCTCTTGGAGGTGGGAGATGTAGAGGAGGTTCCTCCAGAGCTAAGGGGCAGGGGGTTGTAGAACCCTGCTATTTCCTAATCCCGAAGGCCAACGGCAGTCTCAGACCCATCCTAGATCTGTGAAACCTCAATAGATTTATAAAGAAGCTGAAGTTCTGCAAGGTCTCCTTGGCCTCCATTATCCCTTCTCTGGATCCAGGGGACTGGTATGCCACCCTCGACTTAAAGAACGCTTATTTTCACATTTCAGTCTTTCAAGGTCACAGAAGATTTCCTCTGATTCATTGTGAATCGGGTACACTACCAGTTTACTGGGCTGCCTTTCGACCTGTCTACACCCCTTCACGTATTCACGAAGTGCCTGGCAGTCATTGCAGCCTTCTTGAGGAAGCAAAGGTGGAGGCAAATGTTTGGTTAAACTGTCAACCTTCAAGAAGATAGGTCTGTTGATAAACATGCAGAAATTGACACTCTCACTAGGTCAAAGAATAGAATTTATAGGGATGGTCCTCAACTTAGTCCAGGCCAGAACCTTCCAGAGACCAGGTTCCAGGCCCTAGGCACGATCATAGAGAGCCTTAGAAACCACCACCATGGCAAGAAACTGCGTAAAACTCCTGGGGCACATGGCCTCATGCACTTAAGTGGTGCAGCATACAAGATTATGACCTAGACCTCTCCAGACTTGGCTAGTGTCAGTGTACCAGCTGGGCGAAAATTGCTTGGACATGGTTCTCACACTTCCCCCTTTGTTAATCACCACTCTCCTTTGGTGGTTGGACCCAAGGACACTATTTGTAGGTGTCCCATTCTCAAGACCACATCTGTCAATGTCTCTTGTTACTGACGCATCTGCGCTGGGTTGGAGGGCTCAGCGAGGGCTACTCAGAACCCAGGGCCTCTGGTCCCAGGTAGAGCTCTCGCTACACATCAACACGGGGGAACTCAGAGCAATGTGCCTTGCCTGCCAAACGTTCCAGCCCCACCTGAAAGGCAAATGCATGTTGGTACTTCCAGACAACACAACAGCAATGTTCTATATAAACAAACAGGGTCGAGCGTGCTCTTCTCACCTATGCCAGGAAGCCCTTTGCCTGTGGGAATTCTATATAACCCATTCAGTCCACTCAAGGCCTCCAATCTTCTGCACACAGAACAAGTTAGTGGATCGTCTCAGCAGATCCTTCTCCAATTATGAGTGGTCCATTCACCCAGACATCGTGAAGGACATTCTGCAGAGGCGGGGAGATCCCCAGATAGACTTGTTTGCAACGAGACACAACAGGAAGTGTCTGCAGTTCCTGCTCCTTCCTGAATCACAGCCCAGGCTCACTCACAGACATGTTTCTTCTCCCTTGGAAGGACCATCTCTTTTATTTTCTCCCATTCCGCTCATACACAAGGTCCTGCTGAAAGTCAGAAAGGAAGGAACGAGCCTGATCCTGACAGCCCCGGCCTGGCCACGTCACCAGTGGTTTACCAGCCTTCTGGACCTCTTGGTGGAAACACCAATCAGCTTGCCTCCATTTCCAGATCTGATCTTCCAGGACCACGGCCATCTATATCATCCAAACCTCAAGTCCCTTCATCTCACAGCCTGGAAGCTCCATGGCTGAACCCCTTGGAGCTAACATGTTCTGGACTGGTTCGAGAGGTCCTTTTAGGGATCAGGAAACCATCCACTAAAGTTACGTACCTGGCAAAGAGGAAAAGGTTCTCTGTCTGGTCAGCACAGAAAGGTGTTTCACCCACGCAGTCATCAGTGCCATTCATTCTGTATTACTTACTTCACCTGAAGCAGCCAGGGCTATTGGTGTCATTGATAAGAGTCCACCTGGCTGCACTTGGGGCATTTCACTCGTGGGTAAATGGCTGGTCCATCTTTACAAACTTGATCTGAAGTAATTTCCTCAAAGGCCTGTACAGACTGTACCCCCAAGTGCTACAACCAGTCCCACCCTGGGATCTCAACCTGGTATTGTTGAGGCTCATGGGTCCCCCATTTGAGCCATTGGCAACATGTTCTCTCCTCTACTTGTCCTGAAAGGTAGCCTTTCTGGTGGCCATTACTACGGCTAGAGAAAGGTCTTGGAGATTAGGGTTCTTACTTCAGAACCTCCTTACATGGTATTCTTCAAGGATGAGGTCCAGTTGCACCCTGACCCAGCCTTCCTGACGGTTGTTTCACAATTCCATAGTAACCTGGACATATTCTTCTAGTCTTCTATCCAAAACCACATGCCAATAGCCAGGAGCAGAGATTTCACTCACTAAATGTCAGACATGTGCTTGCCTTCTACATAGAAGGACTAAATCGTTTCAGAAAACTACACAACTCTTTTTGGTGGTGGATGAAAGTATGAAAGGTCTTCCAGTCTCAGCCCAGATAATTTCATCATAGATCACTTCTTGTATCTGCACATGCTACGACCTAGCGAAGATCCCTGCTCCGTGCCTGACAGCACATTCCACAAGGACACGAGCATCTTCAGCTGCATTCCTGGCAGAGCTCCCAATCCAGGACATCTGTAGAGCAGGAACATGCTCTTTGGTCCACACTTTTGCATCATACTGTGCCATCACTCAGCAGGCCAGAGACAATGCTGGATTTGGCAGAGCGGTGCTACAATCTGTTTGTCAATGAACTCCGAACCCTCCTCCTATACCTGCTTGGGAGTCACCTGCATTGGAATGGACATGAGCAAGCACTCGAAGAAGAAAAAATGCTAACCTTCCATAACTGTTGTTCTTTGAGGTGTGGTGTTCATGTCCATACCAAACTCCCACTCTCACCAGGGCCATCCTTAGGATTTATGGGGTCCTACGCAGTATTCTTAAACTGGTGCCCCTATGCTCGGTGCAACTGGTGCCCCTATGCCGGTGCATTCGGCTCTGTGAATATGGCCCCTGCCCTCTGCTTAGTAAGGAGACTGCAGCGTGCACTGGGTGTGCGGGAGCTGATCCGCTCTTACCTGCTGTCCCGGTCATAGGCGTGGACTCCATGGGTGGGAGCTGCAGGGCTGGAGCAGAGCGGGGAGGTCAAGCACCCCCCAGCACGATGAGAAGTCGGTGCCTATGATAGTGGTGGTGCCCCAAATTTTCGGGTGCCCTATGCAGCTGCATATGCCTAAGGATGGCCCTGACTCTCACCCCCACCCCTCTGTTGGAGATAGCCAGCAAGGAGAAACAGAGGGGGTGGCAGGGCCCTGTATCTGGCACTATGAGGGCACGACTCCAGGGGGCACCAGAACTGACCCAACGGATACCACTGAGGGGAAAACTTTCCGGCGACGGTGCTTGAGGCGAGCACACACCTACATTGAATGGACATGAGCAACACATCTCGAAGAACAACAGTTGTTACTGATTTTTAGTAACTGATTTTTATTCAATTAAATTAATAGCAGGTTTAAAACAAATAAAAGGAAGTTCTTCTCACAATGCAATGTCAACATGTGGGACTGATTGCCATGGGATATTATGAAGGCCAAAAGTATACCTGGGTTCAAAAAAGAATTAGATAAGTTCATGGAGGATTGGTCCATCAATGGCTATTAACTGAGATGATCAGGGAATGCAACCCCATGCTCTGGGTGTCCCTAAACCTTCAACTGCCAGAAGCTGGGACTGGATGACAGAGGATGGATCACTCAAATTTGCCTTGTTCAGTTCATTCCCTCATCTAGCATTGGCCACTGTCAGAGACAGGATAAACCATTGGTCTGACACAGTATGGCTGTTCTTATGTTCTTATCTCGATGTATGCTTGCAACTAAATGTAGGTCAGCACCGTTTCAGCTTTCTGTTGTTAACACAGTTTGTCAGAAACAGGTCATTTTTCTACTGCTGTAGAGTCAGCATGGTCCGGAGGAGAGATCACAAGACTGAAAGTCTGGGAACATCTCAGTTCTGGTTCTGATCCTGGCTTTGCCATCAGCTCTCTTGTAGATTTGGGCAAGTCATTTAACCACTTTGTCAGTTTCCAATCTGTATGATGAGGATAAGGCTCACTTTACAGGGGTATTGTGTAGTGTGACTAATTAAAAATTGTCTATCATTTTGGAAATGTAAAATGTTGTATAAATGCCAAGTATTATTTCTCTAGATAAATGAATAGTGAACGTGTGTAGTTCAATAGATTGTAGTGTTAATTACAGGAGATATATTGGCAAACATTAACACAGCTGAGCTATTTTCAAGAAGTTTAATGGGGAAGATGAATTTTTACACAAGGGATGGATTGGATTCCTACTGCAGCAGCTTTCACTGAACTTGCACTTCGTGCCAAATTCAGCAGTGGATTTTGGAAACAGTTTCTGTTGTACATTAGAGTGCTTTTAACTGGTCCATTTACTCTTGATTTCAGGCTAATCTAGATGAAGGCCAAATGAGTTCACCTACATTCCTTAGAGCTTTAATGACAGCAGTTTGTAAAGCAGCCATTATAGGTGAGTAACTTTCAAGCTAAGGCTGTACAAAACAATCAAATATGAAAGTAATGAATTTACAGATTACTTGGGTTTTAACCACTTATTTTTCTGTTTGAGGCTGGCTAACCTTTGATACAAATTGTGCATCAAGATTTTTTTCTCCCAGATTGTACAGTTTTAGTGCTGGAGAAAGTGAAGTACTGATACCACTGTCAAGAGCCAGTCATAGTGCAGGAGAGATGTGCCACCTGCCCCTTCCCAAACATAGGTCTGCCAGTGCCCCTCAAGTCTTTACCTGCAGCACCTGGGTCCCCCTTGAGCAGGGACTTCCACCTCTGTTGAATTATGCCTGATTGTTGATTTTCCAATGTAGATGAAAATCCACTAGATGCTATTCTGAAACAGGTTCTGTTTTTTTCTGGTGCTCTAAATACAAAATTGGACTTAAAATCTTTGCAGAGGTCCCCACTGTCCATGGAACATGGAGAGTGCAGTATTTCACTTTCAAAGTTTGATACTAGAGAAAAGTAAATTTATGTGGCTTAAATACTGCTGTTATTTTCCTCTGAGATAACAGGAATCATGAGAATGTGCTAACAAAGCAGCTACTATTTTACAGGTGTCTGGATTGAACTGTCTGTGAGGTTTCAGCCTTTCAAAAACCATTCTTTCTTTCAAGTGTTTGCTCTTGGGATGGGTGTGATTGAATTTCATCTCACTGTTGCATGGATTTCAGAGAGGCCAAAATCCAGGGAGAGCTTTTTTCTCTGAGAGTATAATCTTCTTGAGGCCACCTACTGTTAAAGTCTAGATGCTGCAGGATTTTATCATTCATATTTAGGGGTTTCCTGATACATCCTTGCTCTGTAAATATCAGTAATGTCTTGTTCTGGTTTTGTTTTCTATCATCTCTATCTAGGTTTATTTATTTTTGCTCAGATTTTCTCTATCTTGCTCTTTTGTTTATATGCTGGCTAAAAGTTGCTGAATATTTTTCTACAGATAACTCTTCCCATGGGGGTGTACATTTTTGTCGACTTCTAGCAGGGTTTGATATACTTTGATTTTCTTATTTGTGATTTAGTGTTCTATTCCGGTTTGTCTTTTGAAAGAAAAATGTCCTTGTAATTATTTCAAATCTCTGGGAAAAAAGAAAATGTTCAGCCTCTCTTTGTGTGTAGATGTTCAAGTATTCAAGTGCATGTGCATACATGAAGGCTGGATAGAGGCCTCACTGAAAATGTGGTCCAGAGTTTTTGAAAGTGTTCACTATATTTGGGGAGTGGGAAGCATTGAGAAGCAGATTATATGTTCTTCGAGTAGTGTCCCTAGGAGCACTCCACTGTAGGTGTGTCTGCACCCCTGTGCCTCTAATGGGAGATTTTAGGTAGCAACATCTGTTCAGTGCTCTCCCTTCCTTATGGTCTGCCTTGAGCTGCCATGGCCAAATATGATTTTATTATAGAAAACTCAATGTTTTTCTGGACCATTTACCGAAGACACAAAAGGAACAGTTTTAGGCTATTGTCAAAGGTCAGTTAATATCCAGAATGGCACTACAGACAGCACTGGACACAGCCTATACAGCGGCCCGCTCCATGTCTGTGGCGGTGGTAATGAGGCGGGCTTCTTGGCTACATCTTTCTGGTTATCCAAAGAGCTGCAGACAAGATCTCCCATGTGAAGGGCCCACTCTTTGCGGAGAAGACAGACTCTTTTCTTCACCCCTTGAGGGATTCCCAGGCTACATTATGCTCCCTGGGAATCTACACTGCAGGACAGAAGAGAAGATATAGCTTTCAGCCACAGCACAGGTCATGACCTCCTCGGTACCCACCATCTCAGTGCTGTTATGAGCTGCAGCATAAGAAGCCCAGGGTTCAAAAGTGGAAGCAGTCAGCACCCCAATCTGCAACCTCTTAGACTGCCTCTTCTAAGCACTTTTGATGGGTTGGTAGAACCCCGAACAATTATACCTTGCAACATTAGTTGCTGCTACACGTCATGCGCCTTCAGAAATTGCCTGCCCCTATCACAGCAGTTGGGAGACTATCATCTCTGACAGATGGATCACAATTTTGCATGTGCATACATGAAGGCTGGGTAGAGACGCCTGGCTGAAAATGTGGTCCAGAGTCTCTGAAAGTGTTCATTGTACTTGGGGAGTGAGAAGCACTGAGAAATAGATATGTTCCTATCGTAGAAATAGCCCATATTCTTTTGGTTCCCTTTTGGTTCAGTTCTCTTCCCATTTCTGACTAACCTGAGTTTGTCGTTTCTATTTAAATAAATAAATATGATGAAAAACCTGCCCCTGGCCTCAGACCCACCAAAAGTAACCCTGATTCTTCTTTTCTCTCCAGCGGATTCGTCTAGTTTCCGTGTGGACACTGCTGTTATCAAGCAGAGAGTGCCGATCTTACTCAAGTACCTAGACTCAGATACAGAGAAGGAACTACAAGCACTTTATGCACTACAAGCATCAATAGTAAAACTTGATCAGCCTCCTAGTAAGTGGTTTTTTGTGTTTGGGATTTGAAAAATCACTATTTGGCATTGAAGGAAAAGATCCAGGTGGAGAATTAGATTTGGGTCTCAGATAGAGTCTGGTAGATTGTGCTCTTCCTGAAGGGGGAACAGACTGGTTAGGTGGTTGCGAGGAGGCTGAAGGCAAACTACTATTATAGCATCCAATTATACAGTGCATGGCTGTAGACCAATACTCTTCCCCACCCTCCTGGCTGAAGGTGAGCTCCTCTATTGGCTGCCACCATAAGCAGCCAAGAAGGAAATGCCCATAATGTGGAAAGAAGAAAAAGAAAAATTTCAAATCCTCTGCTGCATTTAGTAGCAATTGCTCTACTTACTCACATTTCAGGGCAACTGCACCTGCACACCACACCATAAGCCCTTGAGGGCATCTGCTCTTGGGTCTTCAGCCGTCACGTCTCTTGGTTAGAGACCCGGGTTTCTCTCCCTCCTGACAGGAGTTTTTGCAGGCTGTACAATTCCCTCTCTATACTGTGATATCCCCAGCAAGCCAGGCTGCCTAAACAGGCCAACGTCTGCACTTTGCTTTCTCCCCGAAGGCTGTGAACAGTTGTAATTGCCAGCAGTCCCAAGTTACCACACAGCCCTTTCTAAGCAAGTACATTTATTCTTAAGACTAAAGCATTACAGAGAAAACTTATTAAAAACCATAAAAAAACCTACATGCATGATAATAAGCCTACCAGACTCCAATACATCTCAGCTCCAACCAGGACTCTGGTGGAAGTCAGTTCTTCAAACCCAGCATGGGTTTTTTTCTTTGATTACATGTTCATAATAGACAGCCTTAGCTTAGAACTAAAACACTCATGAATAGGTCAGTCTTTCCTTTATACAGCTTGGGCCTTTGATCTTGAGACTCTGGGAACAGGTAATCAGCAGACAATGGTCTCCTCAAGGTATAACTTCTAAAGGCTGGCTTTTTGCATAAACGGGGTGGGGAATTTACATTCATCTCCCCCTAGAGATTCCCCCAAGCAAATCACTTGACCCTGTTTGTCCCCAAAGTCAATTCTTGTCTGGCACGTTGTTCAGTACAGTCATTTGAAGTTCATAATACTTCCCAGGGTTCACATCACATTTCCTCCCTGGAGAGATTACATACAAACCTGGCCCACAATCATAAATAACCTTTCCATTTAATGCAATGGACTCCAAAGATTCTTAAACTTAATTCAGTAAGGTTTTTCTAGGATACTTCAAGAAATCTCCATATCTGTAACATAGATGCTATCATAATTTCTAAACTAGTGAAACTAGGTAGCTCAGAATGGCCACTGTAGGTTCTGTTCCATGGCCATTTGCTGGTATACACGCACACGCTGCTGCCTTTCCAGCCCTCTGTTTAGCATATGACAGCATGTTCTGTAGCATCAGAGGAAACTTTACTTTAGCAACTGTGTATTTAACCTTCATAGCCTGCATAATCAGGGCACAACCACTATTAACAGCAGTTCCCACTACTTGCTTTTCCACTTCTCACTGTGGAGATTAATGGAAGGAGGAGGCACACATTAGGACCCTAGGGGGGGGGCTCTGGGTGATTGCTACTTCCCACCACCCAACACAGATGTAATGAGGTTGAGTAGTGTCCGCAAAAGAGAAACTAAACAACTAATTATTCCTTAAGAAAGGTTTTTAATGACTTACAACCATAAAGGCAACACAGACAAAATGTGCCTAGTGACTTAACATGTACTGTAACCATTCCCAACCAACACACATTTATATGAAATACTGATACATTAATTAACTATAGTTTACTAATTTTAACCTTCCTATTAACTTATTTAACAACTTATAAACTTTTACTGGCTTTTATGATAAACTGAATGACAGCTTATACTGAAGACAGCCACAGCAACATGCAAAGCTATTGTTTACAAACTACTAGCTTCACCAGCGCTGTACCTGCTTCCAGCAAGGCACAAAACATATACAATTACTATATATTGATTAACTATTGACTACTACTATTTTTAAACAACTTAAACAATTTACTAATATACTTAAACTATGGTATTAATACAGATTTAAGATTAACGAGCTCGAGCACAACCAGACCTCTTCAGTCCGAAGCCTTACCCTGCATTCTTCCAAAGATACATTACCTTTCAGTCGACCGTTTCCTGCACTGGCCAAGCACAGATAGTCGGTGAAGCGCAAGTCCCTTTGGTTCAGGGGGTGTATGTGAGTCTGACAAAGAGTGATCTCTTTTAGGTCAACACACACACCAAACACTTGCGTCTTCACACCTTATTTATACTGTATTTGCTGGCCGTGTTTCAAAACAGGTCAACCAATGAAAGTGGCCAAATGTTTCAGTGTGGTATTTGCAGTTGTCTTGATCTTATGAACTGTGCACCTGTGCTCACCTCAGCTCTTCTCTATGCGGCTAATTGTGGTCAATTTGCTAGACTCAAAAATGCTCAAGTTAGCTTAAAGAGGTATTTGGTTGCAGAGCATAGTAACCACACGTCTGTATCTATCTTTACAGAGTTTCCTTCTTAGTCTATAAAGCTTCCTAGCTAGATTATGCTTATGCTTGCAGGATTCAACTGTACTCGCTTCTTACAACTTCCGGAAGTTTTAGGCCTAACACTGCTTAGCCTGACACTACTTGACAAGGCTTATGCACATTAATCACAAAGGCCACTTTTATTCAGGTTTTAAACTGATATCTCTAATCATTTCTGTATTTCCTTGTCTACCAACTACTATACATTACTAAATAGATGTTTCTCCCTTGCAGATCTGTTGCGGATGTTTTTTGATTGCCTGTATGACGAGGAGGTGATATCAGAGGATGCCTTCTACAAATGGGAAAGCAGCAAGGACCCAGGAGAGCAGAATGGGAAAGGAGTAGCACTGAAATCAGTCACAGCGTTCTTCACATGGCTACGAGAGGCTGAAGAGGAATCAGAGGATAATTAAAACTTAAAATACAGAAAACAAAACAAAAAAAAGAAACAATTTAAGTATTTTTTTAAAAAGTTTCACGTCTTCGCCAATCACAGTGCAGCAAGGCCAATTCTCGCGCATAACCCCCTCCTTCCCCCACATATGCACGAGTGGGAGAGGAAAAAAAATAGATAAACATAAAGGTGATCATGGAGGAAAAAGGTACTTGGGGAAAAAAAGTAAACTTCAAACCTGAGGGCGGGAGCACTAAACCAAAATACATGTATTATTTATAGAAAATATTTTCTGTTTTAATCATTTTTTCTTTTCTTTTTAAACAAGGACTCATACTTTAAAAAACAGATCTGTTTAGCAAAAAAAAAGTTGAAAACTTTAATTTATTATTTTAAGGACTGCAAATGCCAGTGTAATTTTTACATTTGCAGTTTCTGTAAACAAATTGTATGATAGAAAAAAGCAGAGAAATAAATTACCCTCCCTTTCAGCTGCACCTCAGTTTTGTTTCAAAGCATGGTAGATAAACTTTCAACAGGGTTTGGGGTAAGCTACATGAGGGAGAGATTCTTTTTTATTTTTTTTTAATTGTCGTCATATTTTTCTGCCTGCCTCTCAGCTTGCTTCAGAGATTAAAAAGAAAATAGTAATCAAAACATACATAACCTTGGAACCGAAGGAAATGCATTTGAGAAAAACGCTGTGGACCAGAGTGCTCCAAGAAAAACTCATTCAAAACAAAGTGCTACCCTGGGGGAAAAAAGTACTAGTGATATTTTCAAAACCTTTAGAACGACTTTAAGGCTTGTAAATACATAGAACAAATATTTAAAAAAAGAAAGAAAATGACTCAATAGTATTTCTTTTCACTTTGAAAATATAAAGAACAAAAATAAAGACAAACATTGCAAGTTTACAAGAAAGTAAAGCGATTTCTCCTTTAGAGAGCTGCTGAATGCGCCACCATTTCTGAGTGGTGCTGTCTTCCTTCTCAATGTGTAGATTCTGGATCCAAATTTGTTTATATAGTGTGTGTGTATGTGTCTCTACACCAAAAAAGAGGGTGTAGGCCATTGCGGTAAATGTGGGGTTGCTGCTTGGGAGACCCTTTTTGCAGAAGTTAAGGCTGAGGAGCAGCTAGCTGCGTCACTATACAAGCCAGGTTTATCCAATTTCAAATACTTCTCCTCTAGGCTGGGAGATGACCTATGAGGGCAATAAAATAACTGACCCCTGCTTAATTTTGCAGCTGTTGGACTACAGTGTGTCTTGTGACCCAAGAACACTGCATTGTTATGGTGGTAGCTCTATCTAAACAGGTTGCAGCCTTGGAACCAGATAACCAACATCTCTTCTCAATGGCTTGTACATCCATTGTCACCCAGCCACCACTGCTGTCCTTTGTGTCTGACAGTTGCCTTGCCGTGCTTAAGGAACCCAAAACCCCCAGGAGTAAAAAACAAAAACAAAAGAAAATAAAGAAACTACAACATTAAGCAAAAGGGGCGAAACAAGTGCTGCAAGTGACACAATGCTCTTCCCATCTCTGCCCAATCTCTACTGATGTATGAAGTCTGAGTACAGCCTGGGCATTGGCTTCTCTGGCACAAATTGGTGTACGTACTATCTCTGTGTCCAAAGATGACTCAAGCATGCCCTTCTTCACAGGGCTGGTACCGTACAAAGTACACTCCACAAAACTGAGCTGCTTCTGAGCAAATTAAGTCTCTGTGTATCTCTCTTGAATAACCAAAGATTACCTGATGGCTCTCACTATGAAGATGCATCCACAATCTGCAAAGCTTGTGAAGCGCTAAAATGATAATTTGTGAACTGTGGCCCGTGGACCATGACCGACCCATGAAGCTCTGGCTGGTGGTTTATGGAGCACTTGGTAGTAGTCTGTGGAGTGCTGGTCACTCACATGGTGCTATCTCTTTCTCTCCAGCTGCTAAATCACTTTTTTAAAGGCTACAAATACTAAATACATTAAATACTTTCCTACTCTTACTTTTAAATGTAAATAATTGCTGTACATGCACAGGGATGATATTTGATTGCTAGTGGGAGTGGACAAGGTGTTTGGTTGTGGATGGAGGGAGAGGTGTCCAGGAGACCAGGCTTTCCATTAACATTTGGTCCACACTATGAAATCAAAGATGGATAACCCGTGCCCTAAAAGACTAGACCATTTTTTTTAGTAACAATAAAACACTTTCTCTGGTGTATTGTTAAAACATTAAAAAAAACATCCGTAATATACCCACGTATATGTACCCACTTACATTAAAGACAGCTAATCATTTCCAAGTCTCAGCAGCTTTTGCACACACCCTTCAGCCTTCCTGGTCAAAGAGCTGTTTCTACAAATTGGTGAAAAATTCTGGGCTTGTCCATGCAGAGTTGTACCAATTTAATTACAGAAGTGATAAACCAGTGCAAAGGGTTTCATAGGCACTCTTCTTTGGGACTAAGTCACTCTTAAACCAAAAAATGAATGTCCACACAGGGGTTTTCACTGCTTTAATTAAACCAGTGCAAGTTTGTGTGTAGTACAGTGCTTGGACTTCACTTAAAAGTTAGGTAGACATAGCGACGTCAGTTGGGCGTGCTGATCTATCTCCCATTGTAGATGCAGCTGTGTTGACAGAAGAATGTGTTGTTATCTGGGGAGATGGTGTTCCTACACCTATGGAAAAACTCCTTCCATCAGTGTAGGCTGCACCTACACTACAGGGTTACGCTAGCATAGCTATGCCAGGATAGTCTCTGTAGCGTAGACACAACCTAGGCCTGAGATAGATTATGCATCTGCATGTCTTCCATTCAGGCAGAATTCTGAGGAGGCTTTCTACTGTGCCTTGCGAATTACTGCAAGGAGGATGACCATCCTAGCAGCCTGCTTAAATGGATTAGAATGAGCTTTTGAAACCCAACCCACTCTGCAAGGTGCCTTTAAAGTTATGTGATGTATTTAAGTGTTGCCTTGCCCAAAGGGGAAGAAATTCTAGCACCTCTGAACAATAGAATCTGTCACTGGAAGGTTATTTTGCTTGAAACGTTTGAATCATTTGAATGAAGGAGATGGCAAAATATTGATCAATGCAATGAGTGTTAGATGAGCAAAATCAATTGGGATGAGCAACTGGGAAAGGAGAAATAACTCCCAATATCCCTTGGCATTGTCTAACTCTTTCAAGTTAAATGTTTCTGGGGAATAGGCAACTTGCCTTGTTGGCACTCTGTAAGTGCCTAGAGGGGATGTTGTAGAGGTCTAAGCATCCTTTTAGGTGTATCTAGAATCCTGGAAGCACAGGTTCATATGCTGGCAAGCTTAATTAAGTCATCTTTTAAGGTAAATGAATTAAGTTCCATGCACTTTGTTAGGAGTATTTTGGATGAGACCGTAGGACTGTAGTTGTATCTGCCCTGCCTGGACATTAAAGACCCCATGTCTCTTTTCATAAGAACAGTTTGCTCTGGTGTCATTGACAAAATTGTCTCCTCCCATTACTAGTGTGATGCATTCTGTGTGCTGTTTGGTTACATTCTCTACAAAGATTCAGAAGGAGCTGAAGCTCTCAGGATAGGGCATATAGTTTGTAATGTGCTTTGAGACCTTCAGGAGGAGAGGTGATAAAATATAACTTCATTGTTAAATGATGACTGATTAAAATAGAAAAGGGGTAACTTAACAGTAGGTTCCATCTGAAAGTTCTGATCAGAAGGTATTTTTACAATGTATTTATTCCTAATCTGGAATGTTACTAAGGACGCACAAAAATAGGTTTATGTGAATTTCTGTGGAACCACCAACAAACAAATTACTCATTTCCTTTTGCCTGTCACAGACTAGTAGTGTTTTTTGTTCATGAGTAGTCTCATAGTAAGACAAAGGGGTGTGTGAGTGGATGCATCATAGACCTGCTGCAACAAACAAACACGGCTTTAAATTTTGCAAAGTGTGACCTTCCTTATGGGGACCACTGACCAGACTGGTCATTGGGGGTCCTGAAAGATCTTGCAAAGGGACAGCACAGTGCCCACATAACTGTTGTGCTGCAGCATAACTAGATGTTGCATATAGGCACAAGAGAGGCATAGTCCCACTATCTTGTGGTCAGGAGTGGCACCAGGGTTTTTGCCACCCTAGGCTGCAGCGCTCCTCCTCAGAGCATTCGGCGGCAGGGGTCCTTCCGCTCCGCGTCTTCGGGGCACTTCGGCAGCAGGTCCCAGAGCAAGTGAAGGACCCGCCGCCGAAGTGCCCCGAAAACGTGGAGCGGAAGGACCCCCTGCCGCCGATGACAGCAAAATGCCGCCCCACAAATCTTGCCGCCCTAGGCGACGCGCCGGCCCTGCGTGCGGTTAAATCCTGCACAGCGCAAGTGTGGAGTACTGCACTTACAAGCACAAGGCATAAGCTGGTGAGCAGGATAGAGAGAGGTGGGGAACCTAATTCTGCATTAATGAGAGAGCTGGCTGCTGTTTGGCAGCCAAGATTACTCCTTCCTAGTACAGGAATGAGGCCTAAGGGGAAAGGGTAGCAAGTTCCTTGCATGAATGCTGAGGATCATTTTTAAGTTGCTGTCCCATAAGTAAGGCCCTACCAAATTCACAGCCATGAAAAACGATTTCACAGGGGAGACCAGCATTTCTCAAATTGTGTGTCCTGACCCAAAAGGGAGTTGCAGGGGAGTCTCAACGTTATTTTAGGGGGGTTGTGGTATTGCCCCCCTTACTTCTGCGCTGCTTTCAGAGCTGGGTGGCCGGAGAGCGGCGGCTGTTGGCCACACGCCCAGCCCTGAAGGTAGCACCCCGCCAGCAGCAGGGCAGAAGTAAAAGTGGCAATACCACACCATGCCACCCTTACTTCTACGCTACTGCCTTCAGAGCTGGGCGGCCGGAAAGTGGCGGCTGCTTACTGAGGACCCCACTCTTCAGGCAGCAGCACAACCCTAACCCTAATACCTAATGGTATGGTATTGCCCTAATGGTGGCAATACCATACCATGCCATCCTTACTTCAGTGCTGCTGCTGCAACCCCTCCCTACAATAACCTTGCAACACCCCTCCATACACACAACTTCTTTTTGGGTCAGGACCCCTACAATTACAACACTGTGAAATTTCAGATTTAAATAGCTGAAATTGTGAAATTAATGATTTTTAAATTCCTATGACCATGAAATTGACCAAAATGGACCGTGAATTTGGTAGGGCCCTACCTATAAGCCAAACCAACAGCACATCCCTTCTTTAAGCAGCATTCCTGTGGGTGCTCCACTTCAGGAGTCTTAGGGTACATCTACACTACAGCGGGGAGTCGATTTAAGATACGCAAATTCAGCTACGTGAATAGCGTAGCTGAATTTGACGTATTGCAGCCGACTTACCCCGTTGTGAGGACGGCGGCAAAATCGACTTCTGCGGCTTTTTGTTGGCGGCGCTTACTACCACCTCCGCTGGTGGAGTTAGAGCGCCGATTCGGGGATCGATTGTCGCGTCCCGACGGGACGCGATAAATTGATCCCCGAGAGGTCGATTTCTACCCGCCGATTCAGGCGGGTAGTATAGACCAGACCTTAGAGCCCGGCGCTTGTAATCGGAGATTTGTAGTATCAGTGCCTGGTCGGGCGTCGCACACACTGCAGCCGTCTCGTGCCACTCCAAGCAGTTATATAGCAATGTGCAGCCAACCAGCCGCCTTTGGCTCGAGTCAGAGCGACAGCAGCGCCCTTTTTTTCCCCTTCAGATAAGCTTAATAGTTCATAGTTGTTCCTGATGCTGTAAGCTTAGTTAGCCTTTGTCTTTTATATTTTACTTACTTTTTCTTCTCAAAAATATTTTTTTTCCTTCCCTCTTTTACCCCTGCCTCCCCAGCAGGTACTCTTGCCTTAAAAAAAAAAGATAGAAGAAAGAAAGGAAAACAGGGTTTATCCCTGTCCTTTCTCCAAAAGACTTTCTCTCTCAGGCATGCCTGACTCACATGGCTTTAAATGTTGCCTGACTTGCAGACTCTCCATATGAGTCCCTGACAGCCATGCACAGTGTATCCACTGCCTTGGTGAGACACACATTACCAGGGCCGGCTTTAGGTTTTTTGCCGCCCCAAGCAAAACAAAAAACAAACAAACAAAAACCTCCGAGAGTGCAACTGCCGAAGGAAAAAAAAAAGAGTGCTGCCCCAGGAATTGTGCCGCCCCAAGCACGTGCTTGATTTGCTGGTGCTTAGAGCCGGTCCTGCACATTACCCAAAAGTGTCCGCACTGTAGAAAACTGACAGGCAGGATAAGGAAGGCCAGGGATCTCCAATTGAAGCTCCTTGTGATACAGAAATCCTTCAGACCAGCCTCTGACCCTGAGTCCAGGACGCCTCCTGGCCAACGGCGCCAGTGGCAGCGTCTGACGGGATCTGCTTCAACAATGGCTGCTAAGGTGCCTTCTCCTAGCAATGCTACCAAAAAGCAGCCACACTGATCCCCACACCAAGAATCACCTAAAAGAAAGCAATCTCCAAATGAAAAATCTGCCATGACACCGAGAGTGCCGGATCGTGAGGCACCGGGAAAATCCACTACTGAGACTTCCTAAGGAGCTGAAGACCCTATGCAGGCAAGCTCTAATAGAGGTGCATGCAGCAAAGTCAAACCTCCCCGCTCGACACCTACGGAGCCGAAGAAAACCTTGGCACCAACCAGTACAATGGTGCCACCTGCTGTATCTATGCAGCACAGCTCTAAGTCATTGGCACCGACAGCTTCAACTCTAATTCCTGGTCAGTGCACGATGCTGTCCCCAACACCGAGCTTCACAGTCCCACAGCAATTCATGAGGCATGCGGACCTGACAGTGGCCTCATCGCCTGAATTTCCTCTACTCGGGACCGACGGTACTCCATCTAGACCAGGACCGAGCCTGGTAACCACTCCCTGTGGATCAGCCCTTTCCTTCTCCAGTGATGAGGAAGAAGAGGATGAGGCAGTAATATACACTCCTTGCCACTCCTCACCTAAACCTGGACCTTCTCATCACCAAATATCTACAGATATGCGGGGCTGGTATGGTCAACCATGGGCACCGCCCCCATACCATTCCCACCCAACTGGCCATACTGGGATCCGTGGGCAATGTATAGGGCCCAAAACTTCAGGCCCCCTAACTCGCCTAGACCGCACCCTCAGAGACATAAGAGGAAGAGACCGAGGAGCCTGAGGACACAGCTGAAGGTGACACTCTGCCGCCCACTCACATCTCATTTTCGTCACCGGACAAAACGATAATGCCACCACCACCACCCCACTATAGGGGATGATTTCAAATCTTTTCAAGACCTCTTCAAAAGGGTAGCAGAATCCCTGGACATTTCACTAGCACAACTACCAGAGACCCAACACAAGCTCTCACAAATACTCCAGGCATCCACAGCGGCAAAGATAGCTCTGCCAATTAATGATGCTATCATGGAGCCTGCAAAAATAATCTGGCAGAAACCCGCTACAGCCCCTCCCTCGTGTAAGAGGTCTGACAAAAAGTATTACATGCCAGCAAAAGGAGCTGATTTTTTATTCACGCACCCTGCACCAAACTCTCTCATGGTGGATGCTGTCAATTAAAGGGGAAAACAACACAAGTCCAGAATGATCCCATATGATACGGACTGGAAAAGGCTAGACCAGTTCGGACGGAAAACCTACTCTTCTGCCACACTCCAGTTCCGCATGGCCAATTACGCAGCCCCACAACCAAAATACATGCACAATCTGTTTGCAAAAATGTCAGAATTTATTGAAAGTTAACTTGATGACAAAAAATAAACCTGATGACATTTCTGAAGAGTCTCTCATCACCAGGACGGCCGTACAGGCCTTTCTTGACTCTGCAGACACGGCAGCATGGTCCATCGATACATCTGTGGTCGTGCACCGTGTATCCTAGCTCCACCTTTCTGGGTTCCCAAGGGAAGTCCAAGCAACTGTTGAGGACTTACCCTTTGAAGGGCAAAAATTATTCACAGACAAAACCAAAGTCTCTCTACACACCTTAAAGGACTCAAGGGCGACCTTAAAAACCCTGGGCATATATGTACCTTCAAATAAAAAGAAACAGAGCAGATTTTACAACCAGAGATTCCGGTCTACACCATACTCCCAGCCACAAAGACAGTACAACCAATGGCGTAAACAAAAACAGAACAGAACAAAAACCGTTTGAACCCATTGCAACTCACTTCTTGTTGCACTTATCAGTGAAGGTGGCTTTCCTCATTGCTATCATGTCTGCAAGACGGGTGGGAGAATTAGGTGCCCTGATGGCACACCTACCTTATACAAAAATTTTTAAGGCTAAAGTAATCCTACAACCTAAATTCATACCCAATCATAGAATATCAGGGTTGGAAGGGACCTCAGGAGGTCATCTAGTCCAACCCCCTGCTCAAAGCACGACCAATCCCCAATAATCATCCCAGCCAGGGCTTTGTCAAGCCTGACCTTAAAAACCTCTAAGGAAGGAGATTCCACCACCTCCCTAGGTAATTCATTCCAGTGCTTCACCACCCTCCTAGTGAAAAAGTTTTTCCTAATATCCAACCTAAACCTCCCCCCCTGCAACTTGAGACCATTACTCCTTGTTCTGTCATCTGCTACCACTGAGAACAGTCTAGATCTATCCTCTTTGGAACCCCCTTTCAGGTAGTTGAAAGCAGCTATCAAATCCCCCCTCACTCTTCTCTTCTGCAGACTAAACAATCCCAGTTCCCTCAGCCTCTCCTCATAAGTCATGTGCTCCAGCCCCCTAATCATTTTTGTTGCCCTCCGCTGGACTCTTTCCAATTTTTCCACATCCTTCTTGTAGTGTGCGGCCCAAAACTGGACACAGTATTCCAGATGAGGCCTCACCAATGCTGAATAAAGGGGAATGATCACGTCCCTTGATCTGCTGGCAATGCTCCTACTTATACAGCCCAAAATGCCGTTAGCCTTCTTGGCAACAAGGGCACACTGTCGACCCATATCCAGCTTCTTGTCCACTGTAACCGCTAGGTCCTTTTCTGCAGAACTGCTGCCTAGCCATTTGGTCCCTAGTCTGTAGCAGTGCATGGGATTCTTCCGTCCTAAGTGCAGGACTCTGCATTTGTCCTTGTTGAACCTCATCAGATTTCTTTTGGCCCAATCCTCTAATTTGTCTAGGTCCCTCTGTATCCTATCCCTACCCTCCAGCATATCTACCACTCCTCCCAGTTTAGTGTCATCTGCAAACTTGCTGAGGGTGCAGTCCACGCCATCCTCCAGATCATTAATGAAGATATTGAACAAAACCGGCCCCAGGACCAACCCTTGGGGCACTCTGCTTGATACCAGCTGCCAGCTAGACATGGAGCCATTCATTGATCACTACCCATTGAGCCCAATGATCTAGCCAGCTTTCTATCCACCTTATAGTCCATTCATCCAGCCCATATTTCTTTAACTCGCCAGCAAGAATACTGTGGGAGACAGTATCAAAAACTTTGCTGAAGTCAAGGAATAACACCTCCACTGCTTTCCCCTCATCCACAGAGCCAAGGTCGCCTCCCCTTTTAATTTAAATCAGCCCATTTACTTACCTGTATTTTCCTGAAGCCACATGCTGACGGGAGGGAGGCTTCCCTCCACACGCTAGACATTCGAAGAGCATTAGCTTTCTACATAGAAAGAACAAAAACATTCAGAAAAATCAGCTAGACTATCTGTTTCCATAACAGAACACTCGAGGAGGCCAAACCATCTCAAAACAGAGACTATCCAAATGGATATCTGGATGTATCCATTTGTGCTACCAAAACAACGATCTGCAACCCCCACCGGGAATCCACTCACACTCCACCACAGCATTAGCAGCATCTGTGGCCTTTCTCAATAATGTACCTAGCGACATTTGCAAAGCAGCTACCTGAGCATCAGCCCATACTTTCACTAAACAGTATGCTTCAAGCATCTGCTGCTGATTGTTGTTCTAGTTTGGACTTATGGTGTTATCTGCCATCAATAAACCAACTCCAAAGCCCCTCCCCTCCACTGAGGGGCACTGCTTATTAGTCGCCTAAAGTGGAGCACCCACAGGGACATAGAAGAATAGAAGGTTACTCACCTTGTGCAGTAACTGAGGTTCTTCGAGATGGTTGTCCCTGTGGATGTTCCACTACCCTCCCTCCTCCTCTCTACTTCAGAGTTTCATGCCAATTCTCTGGGGTAGAGAAGGAACTGGGGAATGGTTGGCTGTACACCGCTATGTAACCGCTTGGAGTGGCGCAAGATGGCTGTGGCATGTGCCGGTCACTGCTGCTACAAATCTCCAATTGCAAGTGCATGGTGCCAAGACATCTAAAGTGGAACACCCACAGGGACAACTATCTTGAAGAAGCACAGTTACTGTACAAGGTGAGTAACCTTCTCTTCTTTACTCCACACTCCTGTGAATATGGGAGTAAGTTATTGATCAGTGTGAAAGACTATACTAGACATTACTTTAGTTAACATTTACTGGTGCTGGATGCTACAACCTTGTGCACAGGTTGTGTGCCATCTAAGAAGTGGCCGAATCAAAGTCACTGTTATTGGTGGAGCCGGCAAGGTCCCTTGTTGTCAGATGTTTGACTGCATGTGTGTGTTCTTCCTGTGTGCTGTCCCAGCTCTGCGCAGACAGCTGGCACAGCAGACCTCGAGCGAACCATCCAATGACCACAAGATCCATTAAGGTAAAAAGGCACCCGGCCAGGTTTATTGTCGATGAAGAATGGTAATAGCACCTGGCAGACTCTACGAGGATACTAAAACATGTATGCCCGGGACAATGGACGCAGCTCAGTGAATAGCAGGATTTTCCATTCTCCCCTCAGCTAGACAAAGATACTCCCTCTGAGATACATCTTTATACCCTGATACCAACAAGTTATGTACTGCCTCTGACATAGTTAGTTACTGCCCCGATGTGGCTAGTTATCACCCATCACCTTGTACATGTTGGTTCGATTCAAAACATCTCTATTACATACTGTCATCCTGACCTTATCTTTTAGGAGGGATCAGTGTGTTTTTGTTATTCTTGGGGAATGTTTTTGTACCATTCTTGATATCGAGATGTTCTGGTACCACTTGATACCGGGATGTGTTTGTGTGAGTACTCTGTGACTAGCACTTCTTAGGAATGTGTATTTCTGCAATATCAGCCCTGTTCTTGCTAGATTCTGTGAGCAGGTCCCCTACACTCCCTATGTGTACAGTTGCCCCAATTTCCCATTATTGGACCCTTTTTTTCAGTTGGCTTATAACTTCACCAAACTTTAACTATTCAGACTGAAATTTTCCATGTCAGGTTTCTGCCTTAGGATGAATTGTATTAGAAATTTTCTTCAGAAATGGTTCAACCATTTATGAAAATGAGATTAGGAAACAATGTTGTTTTGCCTAAGTTTAAAAAAAAATGTACAATTAAGAAGCTATAGTACCTCCATGCTTTGGAGCAAGGGCTTGAAATTTGGCTGGGGTATGCCTGTTGCTATTGAAAAACTGCCAAATTATCAGCCTCTGAAAAATATCTGAGTTCGCATATGCTTATTATTAGAGTTTGGATGTTAAATTCTTCAATGACACCATTTGTGGTGTGCATGCTCTAACTCAGGACTGCAGGGGCTGACCAGGACTTTTCCTGCAATTGTTGCTCCCAGCTGCTGCAGGCCGCTGTAGCTCTGGGCATGGGAACTCAGAGCAAGGACACACTGTCCCTGTTTGCTCAATGCTCCCCTGCTGGTGCCCAGGCAGCATGGAGGAAAAAGTGCTTGACTCAGACAGAAGTGACAGCAGCCAGACCACGGGGTTTGTTGTGGGTACAGAGGGAGTAAATTGGGACATCAGACGAGGATCTGTGAGGAGAGACTGGGACTGTCTAGGTGAGGAGACTAGGATTGAGAGAAGGAACCAGGATGAGGGAACAGAAGGGGATCAGATTGGCGAGAATAAGGGCATAAGGGTCTGTGACCACCAGAGCATATACTCGCCTCCAGAGTCTGGAATACAACTCAGGATTTCTGAGTCTCAGGCTCAGGACAACTTACAGTGGCACCAGTGGTTCTGGAGCTGACACAAGTGTTCTGAAGTACCATTTCAAAAGGTCAGTGTGTGGTGATCATTTGACCTTTGCACTTACAGGGATTTTTTTTGAGACTGGGGGGAAGTGAGGGAGCAAGAAAATTGTAGATTTCATGATAAGGGAGTTAGAGCAAGTTTGCTCGTTTGCAGAGCACTGATACACCCACCACCCTGCTGCCCTCTGAGCCCAGCCTGACTGAACAGTGTCTCTAGCCAAACAGGATCTGCAAATGCATGAATTCTTCCCCACCTAGATTATTCCTATAAAGTATTAACCTAGCAGTCTAGTTGGGAAAGCAAACGCTGACACTGAGTAGGAGTAATCTAAGGCCCCCTCTATACTGATAGAACTGGTTTGAAACTGTTCCATGCTAAAAGAGTTTGCCTGGCCAGTGTGGATGGGACATTTCAGAGCTGGGGAGTAGAAGACTTGATGTCAGAGCTTAGCTTCTCTCCTGCTTTATTGCCAGATGTAACTATGCTCAGACTCCTAATCCTGCTTTGCTGAGCTGTTTTTTTGAAAGTACATCTACCTCATATCATTTGCAAGAGACCCAGTGACTTGGTTTAGGCATAGTATATAATTAGTTAGTGTGAATGTGACTAGGACAGTTTACTTACAGAAGTTTTATCAAATCCCTGCAAATATCTGGGAAAATTCCCTGCCATTTTCTACATTTTCTCCCCCATCTCCCCGGGCCTCCAGTTACCATCTATGCTAACAATAACATTATAGCGGTTTGTTGAAATAACTTCCTCATGGTTATTCTCTGCTGCAGAGTGCCCAGTCTATGATCCATGGAAATCTGCTGGTGATACCATGTTGGCTACTCTTTCTTATTTCCAGCTGCTAAATTGCATTTTAAAAAAGCTAACACTACATTCAATAAAATCAGTACTTTCCTAACGGAACTTCTCCGTGTAAGCAATTGCTGTAGCTGCTGCTGCGGGGTGTTACATAATTGCAAGCAGGAGAGGAGGCGGGTCCATGAAATGTGGTCCACACTATGAAAATGTGACCATCTCTGCATTACTAAATGCATTTGTGCAATTACATAGTTCAGAAGAACCTCACTCGTACTTCACTAACCCACAAACACTGTGGTTTGCACACAACTTGGCTATCTCACTCCACTGCTCAGCAAAGGTTTAATGGTAGAGTCTGTAATGAAATCTCAGGTTACTAAGATTTATGCACTACAGAACATTAACTAGTATATAACTGAATGTTAAAAAGTACTACACTAACCTTGTCAAAGGAGGTGAGTATGTTTAGGGCTTTCTACAGAGGGAAATTGACTACTATTCCTGTGTGGACACTCTATTCCAGAATAAAGATAGCAATAATTATTGTGGAATAAAGTGATTTTTATTCCAGAATAGAGTATCCCTACTGAGAGCTCTTCTGGAATAGTAATGGTGGAATAGTAATGGTGGAATAGTTTCTTCTGCAATAGCTATTACAGTCAATTTCTTCTGTAGACAAGCCTTGAGTGATACATTATCGTTTACTCTGTTTGCTTACTCCTTACCTGACAGATTTTAGTGATTTGCAATGGGTCTCTGTAGTGTGTTGGCAGTTATCCCTCCCAGTCTGGCTCGGCGGGAGGCCACTCTGCTTCACTACATCACAGCAATCAAATAAGCAAATCAACAGTCTCTGGCCCTGGCCCTTTGGGCAGGGCATAGTAATAATCAATTTAAAGGCTCTAGCCTGCCGGGCAGGGCAGTCTAATGGCTCTGGCCTTAAGCCATTTTTTCTGGTCCTCAGGTAGGGCAGAGCAATAAGCAAACACAGGCTGTCCAGCCTAAGGTAGGGAGGTTGCCACCCCCTGGGGTGGGGCTAGCAGCAGTAGGTAGGGGGACCCAGGCCCACTCTGTTCCACTGGTCCCTGTCCAGGGCCCTGACAGTAGCGGAGGGCTCCACCACTGGGTCAGCAGGGATCCCACCAAAATACATTGGCTCATGTTCTGCCAGCAAAACCTGACTAAAGTCTGGTTCTTCTTCGAGTGCTTGCTCATGTTGATTCCATTCTAGATGTGTGCATGCCCATTTGCACCGTTGTCAGAATGTTTTGCCTTAGCAGTATCCGTAGGACTAGCGCTGGTGCCCTTTGGAGCCCCATGCTCACACGCCAGTATATGAGGCACTGCCAGCCCTACACCCTCTCAGTTCCTTCTTACCCATGATGGTTGGTCTGAGCACCTTCCTCTTGCTTTGCAAGTGTGATAGTGGTTCTATTTGCCTACTGGCTGTTTCTCTTAGTATATAGTTGATAGATAGTAAGTAAGTGTTAGATTTTAGGTTAGAGTCCCAACAGGGACTTTGCCCTGGGGTGGGGCATGCCCTGTTCCTCAGGCTTCAAACCTTGCTCAGCTTGTAGTAAGCCTATGATGGTTAGCAACCCTCACAGCAGTTGCCTAGTGTTTGGGGGAGTTGCACGTGAAAGAAAAGTGAAGACGCTGCAACAATTTCGGGCCAAGGCTCCAGAAGGAAAGGGACATTTGCTTAAGAGCCCTTCTCATGCAGGGCCCTTCACACTTCACCTGGCATCGG